CTTAGTGTATAAGGTATTGAATGTGACAATGAGTTGTGGCACAAGAGATTGGGGAATTTGAACTTTAGAAGCTTAGGGTATCTGAGTTCTAAGAAGCTGGTACATGGCGTTCCTAAGATTGTCAAGTCCGAGAAGTCATGTGAGATATGCATGAAAGGCAGGCAACCTAGATTTCCATTTGCATCATAAGTGGCTCCAAGAGCAAAACATGTTTTAGGAGTAATGCATTTTGATGTATGTGGACCATTTGAAGTACCTTCACTTGGAGGAAACAAGTATTTTGTGTCATTTGTGGATGATTTCACAAGGATGGCATGGGTAGCACTCATCAAGTTTAAGCATGAGGTGTTTGCTGAGTTTCAAAAGTTCAAGGTGAAGGCTGAAAGTCGGAGTGGTCAGAAGCTGAAAGTTCTCAGAACTGATGGTGAAGGTGAGTACAACTCATCAGAATTTAAAAGGCTTTGTGAGGAGAATGGATTTGAACATGAGGTGAATGCTCCATATACTCCATAATACAATGGTCTTGCTGAAAGAAGAAACAAAACTTTACTTGATATGACAAGGAGCATGCTGAAGAAGAAGAAGCTCATTCACACCTTGTGAATAGAAGTTGTTGTCACTGCAGCATATGTGTTTAATAGGTGTCCCACAAAGAAACTGAATAGAGTAATTCATATTCAGAATTGGACTATAGACAAGCAAAGTGTGGGCCATCTGAAGGTATTTAGTTATGTTTGTTATAAACATGTCTCAGATGCTAAGAAAAAGAAGTTAGATGACATAAGCAAAGTAATGTTAATGATTGGGTACCATAGTATATGTGCTTATAAGCTCTACTGTCTATCACCAATAAAGTTGAATCAACTGAGATGTCATTGTGAAGGAAACAAAAGCATGGGATTGAAACAAGTCTCAATCCAACTCTGGTGCAGTGTTAACACCTGAGTTAACTTCTGAAAATATTTCAGACTCTGAAGGAAAATCTACCTCTAAAGTGGATTCTTCCTATGAAGATGATTCAAAGTCTAAAGGTGACTTTAATGCTGAAGTTGAGTCTGAAGGCGAGTTTTCCTTTGAAGGTGACTCTGATGCTGAAGTTGGTTCTGAAGACGAGTCTGACTTTGAAGGTGAATTTGAATCTGATCTAGATTCTAATGATAATCAAGACTCTGATGGTAATCATGCCTCTGAAGGTTGTCCAACATCTGAATAAGATTCTGAACAAGTTCAGAGGCTTTAAAGAATTAGACAAATACCAAGAAAATTTGTAAAGTTTGACATATTGCAAGATATTGAGATAGGCTCTGAAGGGGAAGTCATTCAGTATGCCATGTTGGTAGACTCTAAACAAGTTAGTACTGAAGAAGCTTTCAAGAAGAAAGTGTGGCTGAAGGCCATGAAAGAAGAACTTGAGGCTATAGAAAGAAACAAGAGTTGGGAATTGGTTGAGCTTTCAAAGAACAAGAAATCCATCAGTGTGAGATGGGTTTATAAGTTGAAATTGAAGCCAGATGGATCAATTGGAAAATGCAAAGCAAGGTTAGTAGCTAGAGGATTTCTACAGAAATATGGTTTAGACTACTTTGAAGTGTTTGCACCTGTAGTTAGACATGAAACAATCAGATTGATGATTGTTATAGTTGCTAATAGAAATTGGCCTCTAATGCATTTAGATGTGAAATCTGCATTTCTGAATGACCCTTTACAATAGGAAGTTTATGTGTCACAACCTCCTGGATTTGTGAAGAAGAATTAAGAAGGATGGTGTACAAGTTGCACAAAGCCTTGTATGGACTGAAACAAACTCCTAGAGCTTGGAATCTGAAAATTAATTCATTTTTCAAGCTTTAAGGATTTAGGAAATGTGAGATGAAGTATGATATTTATGTTCAGCATACATCTGATAGCATTATGATTTTGGTGTGTCCTTATTTTGATGACATATTGCTAATAGGAAGTTGTTCATATGAGATAGTCAAGTTCAAAAAGGTAGCGATGAATGAGTTTGAGATGACTGATCTAAAAAATATGGTTATTTTTTAAGGATGGAGATTTTGTACTCTGATAAAGGTATAATTTTGCATCAGGTGAAGTATGAACTTGAGCTTTTGAAGAGATTTAAGCTAATAAATTGCAAGTCTACAATCACACCTACTGAAACAAATCACAAACAAGATTATGATATTGAGTGTGATGATGTAGATGCTACAATTTTTAAATAGTTTGTGGGCTCATTGAGATATCTTTGTAACACCAAACCTGATATATATTATGCAGTTGGAATGATAAGTGGGTTTATGAATAAACTTAAGTGGTTGCATTGCTGTCGAGATACTGAGGTATATTAAAGGGACTCTGGGATATGGAGTTTTGTTCCTTTTTGGTGATAAATATGATTCAGAGCTAATATGTTATTCAAACTCAAATTGGTGTGGAGACAGAGTTGACAAAAGAAGTACTGCTAGATATTTCTTCAAGTATCTGGGAGGTCCTAGTTTTTGGTGCTCTAAGAATCAACCAGTAGTTGCATTGTCAACCTGTGAAGATGAGTACATCGCAGGTGTTTTATATGTGTATCAAGTTGTTTAAAATTTGAATTTATTGCAAGATCTGAAGATCAAGGAGAGGAAGCCTATGAGGTTGATGATTGACAACAAATCAGTTATACGCCTTATCATGAATCTAGTATTTCATGGAATGAGGAATCACATTGACACAAAGATTCACATTATCAGAATTCAAGTTCAGAATGAAATGCTTGAAGTTGTTCATTATAGCACTCAGAAACAACTTGCAGATGTGCTGACTATAGTTATCAAGACTGGACATTTTGTCCAATTGAAGGATCGAATTGGTGTTGTTGATTTTAGTCTTGAATGTGGATAAAGGGATGGTATTGGAGTATAATTCAAATTCAGATTATGTTACATTTAGAGTTAATTTAGTTTTGCATTTGAATTACATTTAGTTTGGACTTATATATAAAAGCTAAAACTAATTTCAGTTTGTAACATGATTTATTAATCACTTTTCGGTTAGGAGTTAGTTACAGATTTCTCTCTCTTTCTTCATCTTCAACCTTATGTTTCAAAAAAAATCATACAATCTACTAACGTTTATCATCTGAGACACAAGAGAGATGGGTTGTTAAATAAGATTCTAAGACCTCAAATCCTAAGAATATATTTAAGGTATAACCTCCACCGTCAAATGAAATTTGGAGATTGTCGTGTCAAAAAATTTCATAAAATTTAGGGTTAAATATACAACACCTCCTACAATGTATGCGAGTTTTGATTTTACTCCATGTAATATTTTTTTTAGACCCCATGTAATGTTATTTTTTTATTTTACTTCCCTAAACGTGCAATTTAAACACTTAATCTAGGGATAAACCAAAAAAAAAATTATTCCATGAAATAACTTTGATACTTAGAAGGCTAAAGATATAAAATTTTAACATTTTAATAAAAAAATTCAAAAAAAAAAACTATAGAAAATAAATCGAAATTCACCAACATTTCATAAGGGTGATATATTTAATCCTAAAATTTACCATCATCAACTTTAAAAGAAAACTTTTACCAGTACAATCTAAATAATTGAGAAATACTATGAGACATAGAGGTTGTAGTGATAAGGAGATCTCAACTCAATTACTTCCACCAATAAAATACTTTTAAAAAAGTGTTGCTTTTGTCTTTCTTTAATATAATGATTTCAAAACATCATAAAATATAATTTAATTTCTATTTGAATTTATCATTAGTTAGTAGTGCATATATAAAGTCGAACATGCATAGCACACAGTAATACAATGCACACGTTGGCCACGCATTATATATCCTAATCCCACAATTTGTTACCTAATATTTGACTTACGACAATGCACAAAAGTTTAAGGTCAAGGATTTGTTGAGTAAAAATCAATCCTTATAGTATTATTTTGAATTTGTACGTGCATGCATGTGTGTCAGAAAGAGATTTAGTTAATTATTACTAAGAGGGTACCTAAATGTCTCAACCTGAAGGGCAAAGGGGACATACATAAGGTGGTTTGCATTTCAAGAAAAATCCATAAGCAATGTTTACTTTTGGAACTACCTTGTTTTTGTGTCTAGAATCAAACATTTAATCATTTTATGATAATATATTTGCACACGTATTCCATAAGAAGAAATCACACATATAATACAAAGCCTCTCCAATATGTCTATTACTCTAATTCCTCATCATGCACCCCACCCAAAATTTGAAATTGGAACTAAATTATTCTTATTGTTAAAATGTCTTACTCTTTGTTACCAAACGACTTGGACTAGTAGCATCCTGCCGACAACTCCTTTGCTTTTAATTATAAGTTTAAAAATATATATCTTATATTTCATAGTATATTGTAATTCATAAAAATAAAAATAAAAATGTAAAGTTTGATTGTTAATTTGTCCTTGGGTTTTTTGTTCACCAAGTTAACTAATAAAGTTGCTATACTCATGCAAAGGTTGGTTGATGTAGCAAAGCTAGTGAGATTTTTCACTGTCACCAATATCATGTAGGGTAACAGAATTGCAATAATTGATATATCAACATTTTAAACAAACTTTAGTTGGTTAAAATAACACTTTTCAAATCTAGCTGGTGGTTCTTGCTTCATATATGAAAAAACTACAATTAACTAACAAGAAATGTACTAATTAATCATTGAAAAAGTTTCCATATATGTCTTAACAGTCAACTACAGAGTCATTTTCATTCCCTATTTTATTAGTTATAGAGAATCCTTGTGATTCAAGAGCTAACAACTACGTGAGGAGCAGCATTTTATAGACAAATATGCACCTTCCTCCATTTGTCACAAATATAAAACTATGTCTTAAAATCTTAGCTTTGTCTAGAGATTTTGTAAATGATATTCACTAATAAGCTTTTGATCAGAATGGCTTTTATTAGTGAGATAGCATTCTGAGATAGAGTACTTAGTTCTTTGGTTGAGAACGAAAATGATTTACAATACAATTTTTGCCAAGAGTTTTAGTCGTTATGAGCAGAAAAAGTTGGGATATGGAGCATTTGTTGGCTTCCTGCTCATAGTTTTGAGTCTTTGCACAGTGTTTAAGCCTTACTTGGTTCCTATACATGATTGTGAGTACTTAAACTTTTCCTATGTATGAGTAGTACAAGCATGCATGTTGTTTTAAATTTAAATTGTTATTTGCCATGACATGCACAGATAAATCCAATTTCATTTGTGAAATGAGTTAGAATAAACCTTTCTTTTCTTTTCATAGTGAATCTGAAGCTCTCTATTGGTGCTGACACCAAAATGTTGATGGTCAATGACACAGGTGGCTCTCTAAAAATAACCAAAGGTAAGAAAAAGATATATAACTCCATTTTGGATGAACAACTCGATTAAGTACTTGTAACATAAATGTCTATCAATTTATGGAAATAAGTTGAAAATAGCTTAGAACATGTCATAATAAGTTGTTTTCATAAATGTTCCCTCCAACAGTATCATAAGTGCTTATTTTGATAGATAAGCTTAAATAAACTGATCCAAAGAGATCCTTATTCTGAATTTCAATAAGGTTAACAAAATAGAGCTTTTTGAGGTAAGAAAAATATATAGTTTTTGAGCCAAATGATTCTGACTTTATATGTTTATGTGATGATTCTTTGGTCTACTGTTGAAGACATTCTGACAGAAATACTTGTTGAGAGAACTGGCAATTCTCAACGTAGGATTGAAGGTAAGATTCTCTGAATCTCAGTAAGGTTAAAAAGATTTATTTAAGGTATAAACAATTAAATTAACCGTGTATGTGAATATCTTGTTTTTCAGGTGAAAGAGTTGTACCAAAGAACCTGGTTAACAATGTCAGAAGAATCTCTCCACAAATAGCTAGAGGTAATAACAAATTCATAGTAGTAAGAGCAAGTTCAGATCAGATCTACTTGTGGTTTAATTAAATGAACACCTCAACCTACTTAATTTCCATCAGAAAAGTTAAAAATCGACAGAGTATACTACTTAGTACACTAGGAGGATAATCATAAGGACAGATGAGGCTAATGATTGACAGAAACATTTTATTTGGCAGTTGAAGATAATGCAACAAGGACTCCCATCAATGAAATGATCTCTCCAACAAAAGCTGAAGGTAAAATAGCTTTTAAAGTGAATGATATTCTCAGAAATCTTTTATATGCAAGGCTTGATCATTCTTTATTTTTCAGTTGAAAAATTAGAAACAAGAAAAGTAGAGCAAGAGCAACAACTACAGTGTGTTTCAGAAGCAAGAACAGAATACTGCCAAACCCAAGGAGATATCCGAGTGCATGGAAATTCCTCTTCTGTTTACGTTGTGTCACACAAAACAAACAGCTTGGCTGAAAACGTGTCATGGATTATAAGGCCTTATGCTCGGAAGACTGATGCATATGCAATGAGTAGTGTAAGAAAATGGTCAATTAAAGCTAGCAACCAAGTCCAACAGTGCACAAAAAATCACAGTATTCCAGCAGTAATATTCTCTACTGCAGGATACACTGGAAACCACTTCCATGAATTCAGTGACATTATCATTCCACTGTTTTTGACTTGTGCAAAATTTAATGGAGAAGTACAGCTTATCATAACTGATAAGATGCCATGGTGGATTCCCAAACACCAAGCATTTCTTAAAAAGCTGTCCAAGTATGAGATTATGGACATTGATAAAGATGATGAAGTGCATTGCTTCCCTAAGGTGATTGTTGGGCTTAAAAGGTATCATAAAGAGCTAAGCATTAACCCTCAAAAGTATTCCTATTCTATCAAAGACTTCAGAGATTTTTTGAGAGGTTCTTATTCGCTAAAGAGAGTTAATGCAATCAAAATCAGAGATATTGACAATCAAATTAAGAAGCCTAGGCTCCTGATTCTTTCAAGAAAAAGATCAAGAACCTTCACTAATACAAATCAAATAGCAAAAATGGCTAAAGGGATGGGTTTCAAAGTAATTGTTATGGAAGCAGGGCAGAACATGTGGAGTATTGCACATGTTGTGAACTCTTGTGATGTACTAATGGGAGTTCATGGTGCTGGTCTTACTAACATACTTTTCCTTCCAGAAAATGCAATTTTCATTCAAGTTGTGCCTTATGGTGGGATGCAAGTGGATTGGCTTGCCACAAATGATTTTGCAAAGCCCTCAGAGGATATGAATATAAAGTACTTGGAATATAAAATAAAGTTGGAAGAAAGCACTCTTATACAACAATATCCGTTAGACCATATGATTATAAAGGATCCCTCATCAATAGTAAAACAGGGATGGGAAGCCTTTAGGTCAGTGTATTTTGACAAACAAAATGTAAAGCTTGATGTTAATAGGTTTAGACCAACGTTACAGAGAGCCCTCGAGTTATTGCATCAATAAGGTGTGGCTTTTGATCTAGGTAGTTGGACCCTTTAGGTTGTCATGGTTAGTAATTAGATGGGATCTCAGTAATTTATTTGTTTTTTCCTAGAGTAGCTTACAGAGTATTTGCATTTGTACTACTGAAGTTTTAGGCATGGTTTTTGGATATCTTGCAAATAACAAACAGTTTAAGCCACTGTTGTGCTTGATTCTGTGTGTCCAAAATTAATAAATCTATGAATGCTAAGGATCTACACTCCAAAGCATGGGTACTTCTAAAATTATGCGGGTACTCATACCAGATATGTACCTGCTAGAAGTACTCGTGGTACTTCATTTTTTCTTAGAGTGAAATTTGTAATTTTTTCATATATTTATATAATATTCTTTATTTATTTGGGTTTCTTTATTATTAAAACTTAACCCAATGTTCTTTTTTTTTTTTTTTTGCGGGATGTTTATGTGAATTAAACAGCTTAGTACTCTCACTGATACATTATACCAAAAAAAAAAAAAGACTTGTTTTTTATTGATGTGCTCATACCTTAATTTTTTTTTAAATGTTGTATCTCGTACCGGTACCAGTACTCGTATCTCGTACCATAGATATGCATCATAGGATCTACACTATTAGAGCTTCAGGTATTTTTATGGATAGCAACATCAATGTATATTCAATCTATACTAATGTAACATTATAATACTCAAATGAAAAGTATCTGCTTTTTTATAAACAGGACAAATAAAATTATTTTTCTATCATTAGAAATAATTCCATAATTAATAAAAATAATAACCAAAGGAGGATGCAACTGTTAAAAAATCATTTCAAAAATATTTTTAATCTGAATTATGCACTATATTAAATATATTTTGCAGGTATGAAGTGATACAAAAACTTCAGTATCAAAACCATTCATTTTTCAAACCAAACTTTATCCGTGACAATTTATTTGGACTGGTGTGGTATTTGTAAAATCAAAATTCAAAACGTTATATTATCCTACATACCTAAAGACAGCAACAATTTAGCTACATACTAGTCAATAATTGATCTGAGGACTCTTCACTTGCATCATAATAAATACTCCCTACGTTTCAAAATGATTGTCGTTTTAGGAGAAAAATTTTGTTTTAAAATGAATGTCATTCTCATCTTTCAATGTAGTAATAATTGCTATTTTTTCAATTGTGTCATATAATTATTACTCTGTACATTGTTTCCAACACATTAATAAGACTAATTTAGTAAAAGTGCATATCTTATGACAATATAATTGCATTCCTTAATCTGTGTGCAAAAAACCTTAAACGATAGTCATTTTGAAATGGAGGGAGTAATAAATGACTATGAACAAAAAAGAAGTTTCTGCATATTTGCAGGTCATTTTCTAGCAAATGTGGACAGCACGATGAGAGATGTTGGAACATCTGTGCAGAGACAAAACAAGAAAGAATTTGTTCAAAGGCCATAGAAATTCATAGCACTGAGACAAAATAAGAAAGAATTTGTTCAAAGGCCATAGAAATTCATAGCACTGAATCAAACTAAGTTTGCATTGTCGCTATGGAAGATTATAGTTCTAAAAATCAGTATGCAACTTAATAAATAAATTCACTAGTTTTTCCTAATCAGATTGAAATTTAGCAAATCAAAATTGACTTCCCTATTCATTAAACTTATCTCTTATAGCTTACAATATCATCTTGAAAAGAACCCATCTCAAGAGATCTAACATGCATCATAATCCTCTTGAGTAAAAATAATTGTAAATACATATTCTATAATTTAACTGGATGATCAGCTGGCTTGATTAACTAAGCAACTACAATTCGTATCCAAATGCACTTAAAAATTGTGAGGGAATTACCTTGTAAAGCATCTCTTCTCTGCCGACAAGAGCAATGCAGAACAGAATACATCATTAGCATGTGGATACGAACTTTAGATGCTTACTCCCTCGATTTTCCATGAATTCGTTGTATGTACAGTAGCTGCTCATCCAGCCATGCGATGATGCTATGGGTCAGACTAGTCAAAAGCAACTGTAGAAATACACTTCTTGAAATGTGCCCCAAATGTAGGTGGACTCTAGATATGATCACCCAGGTACAAAATAAAGGGCTCAGATCTGTACCTTTCAGATTCAAGATCCCTATAGCTCTGTACACTCTTGCTGGTAAAATTATCCCTGAATATATTGCACCAAAGAGAGACCATAGACAAGCCTTGGTATAGGACGCTATCAAAGAAATCTATCGAAGATAGGTCTTGTAAAGGTAACTTAACTCCATTTAGCATCACTAAACGATTTTTTCTTACTTTTCTTGTTGCTTTTCTTCAATAGCACAGATGCATGACTCATATCACCATATGAATGGGTATTATCCCCTTTTAACCATAGAATAGCTTCAGCAGCAGCAGATTTTTCTGCTAGTTTCTTGCTGCTGCATGGCTGGCCAACAAAATCCAAGCCATTGAATATGACAGTAGAACGGAATTGGGTGTTTCTCAGTTGCTGTGTTTTGTAAGTTGGTGGCTGATGTCCAGCCCTGCTAAGGAATGTTTGAAGCTGATTTTTAGAATTATCACCCCCGACTCCATCGCCACTTTTGGATTTCGTTGCCTTCTTCAACTGTGGTAGGGCCTGGTGACCATAGACAAATCTGCCATCGCAGTTGTCCTCTGATACCAACAATCTTACCGCTGAAAGAAGCTCATTGTGCGATTGTATATCCAACATAGGATCCAGAAGCTGGAATAACATGCAGAGCATAAAGTAATCATGTCAAGGATTTGAAGAGCAACAGGAAATTGAGGGGAAAATATGGCTAAACAACTGAATTATTCCCTTGACAAGTATCAGCCTTTTAAGTTATGGCCAATAAAATTAGACTTACTTTTTTCTGTATCAATTCCTCCAATTCCCTCTTTAAAGTTGAGTAAGTCTTGGCTAATTCTGGTTTCATAAAAAATTCCAGATACCCTCCCAACATTTTTAGGTGACCATCCTGTCAAAAGAACCGTATGTTCACCATATGTCAAAGCACAATGAGTAGTCAAAAGGAGCTAACAGGTATAAACGATAAAGAGCTCATCAAGGGAAGACGTGAAGAAAAACAGAGTAGGAACTTACCAGTCCACCTTTGGATATGTTCCCGCCAAATAAGAGCAACATAGAATCAGATACACCAGTTGAATCCCTAAGGAATACTGCATTCACTTTAATCTTTTCATTAAACACTAACCATGGGTATGGAATTTTGGGTACACTTCCATTTACAGAGCTCTACACGATGCAGCGCCAAAATTTTAGAACTTCAATGGGTTATATTGTCCCCCAAAACAAAATGAGGTCATATAAACATACAAGGATTGATGAAAACATCGGATATTGGAAGGGAAAACTTACAGCGTACAGAAGAACCGGACCATCCTCCATTGTTTTCAGTGTTATTGACTTTTCCTTGTTCTGCATAACATTTTGCACAACCTCACATCAAAAAGAATTACAAAGGAAAATTCAACTAATCTACATATAAAACACGACAAACAGCATGCCCTCCATACCTCCTCAATGAGACTAACATAGACAATACCCAAAGAAACAAACACTTGTGAATGTAACAAAATATGTACAAATATTTGCTTAAATTACAATTTCAGTAATCTTAACTTTAACAAAGATCAATTTATGTCCCCCGAATCACAATGTTATCGTCACCTCTATCATTTTCAAATTGATGTAATCAATTCCTCCAGCTATATCCGACTTTTGATATACTAATGCTGTCTTTTTTTATCTTTGTTTTTTGCTAATGTAATATTAGATGTGATGAAAAGTTGTTTTTTTCGTTGTTTGCTGATGAGGATATGATACAACATTGATAACAAAAAAAGTGCAATTAATATCAATAATGAACATTAATGTTTGGGATGTAGCCCTTCAAAGCCCTGTCGTCTAAAATCCTCCAAAAATCAACTCCCAAAAAGAAACAAAATTGAACTTTGAAAATATTATGGGGAGCAAATATGTAAGCTCGTGTGGCTCATATATATGCTACTGCATGTGCCAATGAATGTGTGTTATATGAATGTGTGTTACTTTAATGAAAATTCCATAAATGTAGGAAATGAATTATGCTGACAGACTAATTCAACATGCATCAAAACCAGAACAAATTTGAAAAGGTAAAAAATCAAATTGAAGTGTCACAAAAATGAAAAGAACTTGTAAGTGGATTACCACAACAGAGGATACTCCCGGAAACAAACCCGCACAGATAACTGCTCGGAGAAGATGCTCCTCATTACTCCATTTATTGTTGGTTTCAGAATTGTTACCAACCAGACCAATATCTTTGAGCAAGTGAAAGAATTGCTTTCGAAGAGAGTCAATAGCCCTAAGTGTTTGGGAAGAAAGAAAATTACGCCAACAGTACTCATAACCAGCTTGCTGTGCTTCAGCATCTTTCCATCCATCATAAGCCCGGATAAGTGCAAGATGATCACTGTATGCACGAGCAGCAAAGTGGGCCTTGGCAGACTCTGCAAGCTGCATAAAAAAGTACAAAGTAACAATTAAATAATCTGAGATATAACACAATTCATGTACCTTCACTTAACAAATTTAGATTATTATGCGATAGTTGGTTCATAATATTGCGTCAAAGCCTCTATGACCATGTGGACAAGACTTTGTCCTTGTTGCCCCATTCTTCTCAGATTAAGTTAAATTTCAGCATAAGGCAGAGTGGAACTGTGGTCTACACTTGCAGTTCAAAGGGCTCCTTATTGGGGGAGGGAAGGGGGTTGTTATAAAATAATTTATGTGTCTAGGGATGTATTTACCAGTAACAATGACAAATACAAAGCCAGGTTTAATCTACCTAGAGTACACACAGCAATACTGATTATATCCGAAGCAAAAAAATGAATGAGAAAATGATATTTTAACATAAAAATAAATCATGTTTATCCAATGGGATCAACCTAATCAACCAATTCAGAGTGCATG